TCTAGCTTCTCGTGTCCTTCATGGTTCGAGCTGCTTTTGTATCTCAATTGAAGTGAAGTTATGAAAAATTTAAACAAATCGATATGTTTTGAAGTAATGAAATTCCTGTAAATATTGTGTGTTGCAGGACGTGAAGATTGCATCTTCCTGAGTTCTGTTTCAAGTTTTAATGCACGACATTACGATGTTTTTTCACAAATTTTTATTCATTTTTTAAGCGGTTAGCATCTTTAAAATAGTAAATATTTTTAGCGCCCATGTATTTTTTATTACTTTTCTGTTCAATCGTCGGTAGTTTAAACTTCCATCTGTATTACCTGTTTTCCTGATGATAATTGTTTAATAATTATGATAGAATATTTGCTGGTGTAAAATTGAGTTGTACTCGAGTTCTGAAAGTTTCCTGGGAATGCCGGTGCAGCCTGAAAATAATTCAGACAATTTTCTTTTCATTTGTATTTGATTTACGGATTTTAAAGTTTTATTTCAGATTCATCCTTTGTAAAATTATTTTGTTGTTTTCCCAAAATTAAGAACTTTTCTGGTAACTGTGTTGCCTGTGAATTAAATTTGGATTTCTGTAATTCCTTTTTAGTCTTATGAAATTACTTCTAATATTTTAAAACTGTATCTTCTGCTAATATAAATGTTGAGTATACTTTTAAAAACATTTAAATCGATTATCTTATCACCAATAAAGTTCTAAATAATTTTAGTTTTCAGTTGATTTAAAGATGTCGTAACTGTGATTTGACTGACTGACCTGCTTATTTTTCTGCTTGTATGCGATTTTATTAGTTCATATATACTGTAATTATCTTAAGGATAAAGCATTCTTTCCTTTCTTTATTCTTCTGTATGATAAAAATTTTTGTTGAATGCTATTGGAATGCTAAGTAAAAAGCATTTTTCCTTCTTTGGAGGAAGTGTGGTATTTCTATTCAAAGTCTGGAAACAGACTTTATTAAAATTTAATTAAAACACAAACTGTGGATATTTTAGTGAAATTTCTTCTGTTCTGCTTTGTGGATAACAGAATTTAAAAAACTCCAAAAAAATTTTAATTTTGAACCACATTGCTGTTTATTCTGTTACTATTAAATTCTTTTCCATGCAGAAAATTGTAGCTAGTTTTGTTTCCAAATTTAACTTATTTTGTGTTATGAAGTGATTGGGAGTCAGAAAATACTTACAATGGAATTATGTTTTGTATTTTTTGTAACTGTCTCCATTTTTACTATGCATAAAATTTTAAGTTAATATCATAAAATTTTTATGCTTTTATGAATTTAAATAGCTTACCAGTGGCTAATTGATTAAAGCCCATAAAAATTGGTAATTCAACCAGGAGTTTGAATCCCAGTAAACAGGCTAGTTTCATGGGTGTTTTTGTATACATATTGTAAGTAGATGGCCAGTTTCCTCTGAAAGGTCCTCCATAAAGGAATCCTCGCTTTAAGCAGATAGTCTTTGAGTGCTTTGCCATACCCAAATAAACAAGGAGTAATATTTTCAATTAATTAAACAATAAAATTTACATAATGTTTAATTTCAACTAAGCATGATTTCTACCCTCCCCCCCAAAGAGCATTAGCCCAGGAAGGCTATTAATTTCATTTTGGCATTTTGCATTGAAAACTTTAAATGTGGGTTTCATTTTTCAAATTGTTGCCGCCAAATAATAATAGCCCTGTGTTATGTTTAAAGAAATTAAATAATAAAGAATCTGCATATATGTATATGCTACCGGCAAAGTATGAAACGCCGGGATTCTATAGAATGCCTAGGCATTGTATATAATGCTGGACATTTTTAGGCAAAGTAAGAAATATGAGAAGTATTACACACTATCCCTAGGCATTCCACATAATACCTAGCCATTCTATAGAATGACAGATGCTCTTTGGGAAAAGTATGAAAAAAAGATTATAATAAAGCCATTATTTTCATTTCTCAAAAATACAGATGTTTTGAAAAATTAATGAAGGAGTGCCATTAAAGAACTGTTATTCAAAATACATAAAAAACAGTGAGATGATCTTGATACAACATAATAAATTTGTATTTTCTGTTTGGCTGAGACTGGGAATCGGCAAGATCTACCTGACAACAGAAATTAAATTCAGAAACAGTCATAAGTTTCACAAATGATGATGTGAAACTTATGACTTTTATGTCTTTCTTTTTATTTTTTCTGGCAGGGCTCACAAATGCTTTTTTGTGAATGCAGTACGGCAGCCAGCAATACTAACCACTATGCCAATATCATGCGGATGGATCCAAGAGTATTCAGTGCCTGTTTCTCTACCACAAAACTTCTCAAGATAATTTTTGACTTACTAGTATTTTAAGTACCCGTATGTTGTACAAACCCTATATACTTCAAACACCTAAACGTTTTCTGGGATTCAAACTTGATTTCAATAATATGACTTCCAGCAGAGCTACCCATTGTGCCATGTGGGGCAGCAAGTCTATATTGTTTGCATATAAAAAGCTAACTAAACACACTCATAGCTTAAGAATTATTCAATAAAGATTTAATAGAAAAGTAGCATTTTAAAATATACACACACACACAAAAAAAAAAAAAAAAAAAAAAAAAAAAAAAACTACTTTAACCTCCCCTTCTTGAAAAATAAAAGTGTTGTGAAGACATTTTTAAAGAAATAAGAAACTGCTTATGTGTAAAAAATATTTTATGTTCACCATTAAAATTATTAGTCTGAACAAGAGAAAAAATAAGTATATTGTTTATAAGAAATCTAACAGTAACTTTGGTACTTGCTGCTCGTTAAACTCACTCGTTAATAAACTCAGCTGCTTATTATGTTCAGAATTCCAGGAACAAATATACTAATTAATCGAAAAACCACTGTTTATTAAATTCATCTCTACTGCTTGGAAAACTCAAAATGCCAAAAGACTGATTCTTCAGATCCAGAATAAACTGTTTGTGAGTGATGAAAGCTGCTTATAGTCCATTCATTTATGTAGTGCTTCAATGAAACAGGCGTAGCAGAAATTTTGGCCAGTGTAGTTAGGACTTGAACTCCCTGGGAGCATTGGGTACTCTTTTCAAGCCCCTGCCAGACACCTTATGATTAACAAAAGCAATCATCTAGAGGCACTGGAAACAATTTCTTTGATTGTAAATGAGTAAGTGTTACCCAGGATTAAAGAAAATATTGTGCTTATGTGACCATTGGTTCCCTTTCTCAAACACCAGCTGACAAGGAATGGAAATTCATACACACATTAAGTTTGCAGGGTGTTCCCAGAAAACATCATGAAATGCTTCCTTGTATATTGGCGTACATTATCAATCTTTAATTGGAAATGGGGAATAGTCATTATTGGCTGAAAGGGAAAGCATTTGATTATGTTTATAATAATCATGAAGTGATAGGTCAACAGATATAGTGCAGTCTTCCAGCTGTCTGGAAATGGAGATTTTAAATTTCATCAAATCACTGGAAAGAAACACTTCTTATTTGCTGTGTGCTTGCCTTGTAGCATGTTGAAAATGCCCGAATGAAATGGTTTAAGCCTGAAAAAAAAAAAAAAAAAAGATAAATTGCTGAAAGATTATGATACACATGTAAATGTAGGGAAAGAGGAACAGCATTTAAAATGGAAATTTCCCAAACAGTATTGTGCAATTTACTTAAAGAAATAAAGTTGATAAAGAATTGGTAAAAAAACGCAGCTATTTTAAAGAAGCGCAGAAGTAATGAAAAATCAAAGGACTCAAACTGCTCTTCTAGAATGGTTTCAAGCTATGAGACTAAAAAGCATTCCAATTTCTATAGCTCTTCTGACCACAGAAGCTGTAGAATTCGCTAAAAGTCTAGGAGAAAATTTTGTTCGAAGTGATGAATGGCTCATAAGATGGAAAGAGAGAAAAAAGTTTGTCAGAAACTACATAGTGAGAAGCAAGGGCTGAGAACTGGATAAAAGATGTTTCACCAGGGCTTCTAAAAGAATACAAGCCACATAAAATTAATAATGCATATGAAACTTGTCAGTTTACCAAAGCACACATAATGTTTAAAAGTGACATAGCAAATGGTTTTAAGAAACTAAAAGGATGGATTACTGTATTATTAATGTGCAATATGGATGCAACAATTAAGAAGATGCAATTGGTTATTGGGAAAAGTAGGAAAATCTTGATGTTTAAAAGGAGTCAAGAATTTACCTTTTATAATGTAGCATTTAGCATTCTGTTTTATGGGCACTTTTAGTTGATTAAAGCTTTATTTTAGCTTCTTAAAAGAAACAATTTACTAAATTTGCAACACTTCTTCTACTGAAATTGAAAGGATTTAACTCATCTCTTTAAATAACCACTTTTACATGAATAGAATAAATACTTCTACACACTTAATAAAGTTAAATGAAGTCATTTATTTTAAAGCAGTATAATGTGATTGTGCATAAAATCATTGTGCATCACAGATTGTACAGCATTTTTTAAGTTTGCTTAAGTGCAGCAGCTTTTATTATAAACTGAGTAATGGTTGTATGTTTTCAGTATGTATTAAAAAAAAATTATGTGACTCGTATATTTTCTTAAAACAAATGTTTTTCTTAGTTTAGATTATTATGATTTTCTCCAAATCAGAAACTTTTATAATTTAGAGAAGAAAACTGTTGTAATTTGATGCGTGAAACTTCAAATAGATCTAACTCCATGAGGTTATTCGGGGTCAGAATACCTTTTAAGCTGAGCCTAGGCATGTAAAATCATCTTGCAGTTTCCTCATTATGTTGAGTTTTCTGTTTGAAGACTGGGAAAAAGTCTGGAGTCTGAATTTATGTGGCTAAGTTTAAATTTCTACTGTAAAAATTTTGTCATAACAATTTTCTACCTAACTGAACAAAGGAATCATATTAAAGTGCTATCACACATCCCTCTGTTTCAGACAGCCAACCTGTTTCAGTTTTCCTACCACATGTGCCACTGAAAGAAAGATACCAACTTTTTTCTCCCTTTTGCAAAAAGTTGCAGATTGGTTATATTTCAACCAGTGTGCTGTCTGGATCAAAACTTTGTATCTCTGATTTGTAATAAAATAAAGCATTTACAGCCAATAAATAATTTCCTTATGGGCCCATTTCATTTCATTTTTCATTTTCAAATGAACTTTTGCCGTTTTTGGCACCAAAATATAAGCATAAAATGTAACTAGAGGTTAGAATGACAACTTTTATTTCGGTTCTCTATACTTCAGTGGAAGCTTACAAGTTTTTATTCAGAGTTTTGCTGTTTGGTAATGCTGGAGTGGGCAAAGTATATTTAGTCAGAAGATTTACACAAGTAAAATTTCATGCCCTCCCTTTTGTATATTGAATCTCTGTAATTAATTATTTAATGCTTAATAGAGAAAGTTTAGTTATTGCAGTTTTAAAAGCATTTATATATATATGAATAAAAAATAAGGAATTGCAAGATGAAGTCATTGATGATTATCAGCTTTTGATGACAAATGTACTCCTGAATAAATTTTTAAAATGCATAAAGCCTAGGAATGTGAAATTTTACATGTGCAGATGCAAGAATATATTAGCAATTAATAATTCTGCATATTGCTAAAATGACAATTTGAAATTCAAAATTTCCAAGCTTGACTAAATAAGAATTAGACACTCTGGAAGTGACTTTTAATCTGTAGCAGTATGTGCTTGGCTATTTAATAACTATTTATGTAATATTTAAGCTGTAGTATTTTTAATGCATCATTATTATTGTTATAAAAGTATACATACAACTTCATTAAAAAAAAGTTGTTTTATTAAAAAAAAAAAAATAAATGCGAGAATAAATTTGTCAAATACAGAAATTTATGGAAAGGAACTCTTATAATTCTAGTTAACAGTTGCACAGTGATTTATTCTTAGCTGCAGTTGACCAAAGTCTGCCAATGTGAGCTTTTGATATCAGAAATAAATGTATGAAATAGCTATAAGAAAATGAATATATGTACCTTCAAGTTGGCATCCACGCTTTCTTTGCCTTTAGGCGCTCTAGTAATATTAAAATACTGTCTCCGTTTGTGGTTTCTGAGGTAGTCTTTCTGTATTGATCATATTTCTGCCTCAGAAGAATTTCTGACTCTTCATTATATGGTAATCCCATAATCCATACTGATTCTTTCTTGAATCCACTTAGTGGCACGCTTTTTAGATCTGCTCATGAAGACTTGTATTTAAACAGCTTCTATTAGCTAAATTTTTATTTTTTATTTTTGTCTCTGTTTTCATAAACTTCCATTCATTAAGATGATATTCAGTTTATTAAAAAAAAGAAAGCAAAATATTTAAATTGTAATCTAATGTATGCCAAGTGGCAAAAAATCTCATAACTGGATAAATGCAGCCATGTCACTCGGGGTTAAAGAATAAAGAAAGAAATCAGCATTTCAACAGAAAAGCAATTGGAAAAAAAAAAGTGTCAGAAAAGAAATTACTTGATTCATTCTTCTCATTTGTTTGTAAATACATCATTGCATAGCTATCCATGAGCTGAAAGAAACAGGTTCACACATTGGTGTTTGGGTGTGTAATTACTATTGGTATTCCAGTAACTGAGAAGAACCTAACTTTTTTGATTTTTTTTTTTTTAATATTTAGCTGTCTAAATTCCATGAGAAACTTTATCTTACTCCTCTGTCCAAGTCTTGTGTAAAACCTTCTGATAAAATATGAATTACAGAATTTTGGATTTTATTCTGAGGTGTAAAGTCAGGGGCGTAACCAGAGTTTCCAGCGCCCGGGGACAACTGAAGAATTTGCGCCCCTTTCTGTGTGCCAAGAATGGAAAACATTTAATTAAAAAATTTCGTAGCATCAATTTGGCGCCCCTTGGATGCTGCGCCCGGGGACATATGTCCCCCCTTGCCCCACCCTAGCTACGCCACTGTGTAAAGTTATCTTTTGTAAATTTTATGTAACATACAAGGTTATCTTTTATAGATTTTATGCAGCATATTTAAGTAATATGTGTACTGTTAAATGAAATATTTCATTATTGATAAAGTTTAAATATTTTAATCCTTTTGCAATAAATAAAGTAAATATTTGCCCTTATAAATACAGAACATTGCTTATTGTAATATATAAAGTAATAACATTTAATGTTGGGGCTACTAAAACAATGGGAATCATTATAAGTTGTACGAATTTGCAGGACTGTTAGTCATGATTTTTTACATAACTTTTAAATTTGTAGTTTTATGAAGTTTGAAAATAAGTGAAGCATTTTGTATACATCATCATATGGCTTTCAGCTTTTCTCTTAAATAAAAATGAATTTTCCTCATTTTTACATGGTACATCATCGTATGGTTTTTGGCTTTTCTCTTAAATAAAAAGGAATTTTCCTCGATTTTACATGGTAATGAGTAAAATTACTACAACTGATACAAAATAATGCAATACAAAGTCCAGAATCGTTGGGATATTGGCGATTTTTGCGTATTTTTGTATTTTATATCTTAAGTTTAAATCTAGTATGATGACATGGTAGGCATGGCAACAATAAGGCTTGACTTATTGTTTAGATCAGATAAGAAAAGTGCTCATCCCCCACAGCCACTCAAGGTCCGAAAATGTGATCCTGGCCAGCATCAATACAATGTCAGTCAATTGGCCATTGGTGCCACTTCCCTAGCCAGCAGGTCTTTGATGACATGCAGGAATGTCAGTTTACATAAAAATCGCATTTACAGCACACCTGCTTCCTCCCCCCTTTTTTTTTGAGTATTACATTCTCAATTCCTAGACTTTGTAAGGGGGAGTGAAATTTATTTTATTTATTTACAGCTTTTGAGAATTACTTTTGATAGCATGGCTTCTGTGCCTTAGTAAAGCAATTTACCTTTGATGTTAATTTTTATCGAAACTTAAAAAAAAAAAAAAAAAAAAAATTAGTTTGGGTTGTGATAGAGCTACTTTCATATCATATGTTTTTATATAAAACAGATATGGGAAAACATCTGTAATTTAAGTTTGTAAAACTTCTAAAAATTTATTAAGTGTATTTCACATTCTGCTTTTGTGTATCCACTCTTAGACTCATGTTAAATAATTATAGATCTTAATTAACATGCTAAAAATAAAGACAAAGACAATAATACTTAAAATATAGATCAATACCGCAGAATTATACCATGGCCATTATCTTATTAAGAGGATAATATTTTCCTCAATTCTTTATTTTTTAAATAAATTTAAAATTTAATTAGTAAATAAATTAGTGTTATTACAGTTGCATTTATTGAATGTATAAATATGTCCTAATTTGTCTCTGTTGAGAGTGAAATTTTTTTCCATTTAGTTAATTATCAGGTGTGCCTTTTTTATGTAACTCTATTAATGTAATAGTTTTTCATACTTTCAGAATTATATGACAAAAGTAAAAAAAAATATTATTGTTTTATTAAATTGTTCTAATTACTTTATTAATTTTATCTTGATATATGTATTATAAACTCCTGCAATAAAAATCATTTTTGCAGTAAAACTTGTGTGTATGAATGTTACATGTTTCATTTTAAGTATATGAATATTGCTTCTATTCTATTTAGGTTCTCCATATTTCAATGGAAGATTACAAGTTTTTATTCAAAGTTGTACTTGTTGGTAATGCTGGAGTGGGCAAAACATGTTTAGTCAGAAGATTTACACAAGTAATATTTCATCTTCTCCCTCTCGTATATTGAATCTCTGTAATTAATTATGTAAAGTTTAATAGAGAAAACATAGATATTGCAGTTTTGAAAACATTTATATATATGAATGAAAGATGAGGAATCGCAAAATGAAATCAATGCACTGATGATTATTAGTTTTAATGCCAAATGTACACCTGAATAAATTTTAAAAGTGCGTAAACCTAGGAATGTGTTCTATACATACAGAGTTCCTTCAAATAACTTCATTATTATGTACAAAGATTAATTTGGGTAATTCAAGGGTCATTTTTGGTTTTAATTAATATTATTAAAATTTCTGAGCTAAATCAAAATTACTGTGCCATTCAGAAAGTCTCAAATCGAAGTGCCTTTCCTCCTCATTATTTTATTACTAACTGATAAGCAGTGACCTTGATTGAAGTGAATTTTTATATACAGTATTTTCAATTATTGTGTAGTTGGAGTGTTTGTTGTGGAATAATTTTTTGTTCAAGTGACGTCTTTAGAATGGGGAAACTGAAAGTTCATTCATTTTTTGCTCCTTTATCTTAAAAAAGGAATAAATGCTAGTGAGATGGCTCACAAGATTTGTACTGTATTTTGGGAAAATGTTGTTACATATCACACAGTTCAAAGGTGGTTTGAGATGGATATTTCATTTTCAAAGATGATATTTTGTCTGGAAGATCATCCTCTGTAAACAAGGACCTAATAGAAAGAAGCTGTTTCTGAAAATCAATGTAATACTGTTCAGGATAGGTATGTAAGCTGCTATAATTATGGATACTCTACATTTTAACAGAGCAGAATATGATTGCTCGAATTTTTACAAGTGACTCTTTGTTGAAAGAAAATAAGAAAACTTCTTTTTTGAAATGGCTTTTTACAGGATTTCAGAAGTGGATAGTATGCAATAATGTTACAAGAAAAAGGTTATGGTGTAAGCAAAAGAATCTCCTTCAGTAGTATCAAAACAGGAGTTGCAACCCGAAAAAGTGATGTTTTGTGAATAGTGGGACTATGAAGGAATTGCATGCTATGAATTTTTACCCACAAATAAGACAATAAATTGAGAAAAATATTGTTCCCAAATAGCAGGTTTAAAATCAGAAATCAAAGCAAAGTGCATAAAACTGAGCAGTTGTTGAGGTGTTTTCTTCAATCATGACAGCTGCATGTTTCAATGAATGCCAGCTAAAGACTTGTTGAACATGGTTGGGATGTTTTTTGTCCTCTATATTCAACGTATCTTGGCCCCTCAGATTTTCATCTCCTTTGGTCACCAGAATTCTCTGAATGCCTCAGAAATAACTTCTTTGGAGACTATCAGATAGTACCTAGATAACTTCTTTATGGATAAACCTAGACTTAAAAAAAGAGGATTTTGCTGGAGAGATAATGAAAAGATATAGATCATAAAGGTGCTTACATGATTCAGTAAATTTCTCATACGTTTCTGTATTCTTTCATTTGTATTTATCATAAAAAATCTGCAGAAATTTCCAGATGACCAAATAATTTCATTATTTTAATGTATAAGTTGTTTTTATCTCCCACCAGTGTGTATATATATATACGAGGGCCATCCAGGAAGTAGATTACGTTTCCGTCTGTGTCTGCTAGGGGCGGGGCTAGCGCGGCCATCTTGGGGTCAGAGCGTTGCGCAGCTCAGTCTGCATCTAGCCGTGCTAGTGAGAGGTACGTGCTGTGCTCCGTTCAGATACTGTGACGGTTTGAAATATCTGCGTTAATTGAAAATCCCGCGAGCTGCGAGGTGCGCTCACTAATAAGGTTTCTGACTGCAAAAAACTGTAAACCGATAGAAATCTATCGGCAGCTTCGTGAAGTGTATGGGGACAACATTATCACTGAAGGTGGAGTGCGTCAGTGGGTCATAAGATTTCAAAATGGCCGAACCAATGTTCACGACGAAGATCGAAGTGGGAGACCCAGCATAGTGACCGCCGAACTTCTCGAAAAAGTCGATGCTAAAGTCCGTGAAAATCGAAATTTCACAATAACGGAACTTTCTTTGAGTTTTCCACAAATTTCGCGAAGTTTGTTGCACGAAATCATCAGCGAAAAGCTTGGTTACCACAAGTTTTGTGCAAGATGGATTCCAAAAATCTTGACAGAGGACGACAAAAATCAGCGAATGGCTGCAGCGTTGAACTTTTTGGACGCTTACCATAAGGATGGTGACTCTTTACTCGATCGCATCGTTACTGGTGACGAAACATGGGTGAAACATGTGAACTGTGAAACGAAATTGCAATCAATGCAGGGGGGGCACACAAGTTCTCCCCAAAAACCCAAGAAATGCATGCAAACAATGTCGGCAAGGAAGATGATGGCGACTGTTTTTTGGGACAGAAAAGGTGTAATTTTGGTGGACTTCCTGGAAAGAGGCACTACAATAAACTCTCAAAGGTATTGCCAAACTCTCCAAAAACTCAGAAGGGCAATTCAAAACAAGCGCAGAGGAATGTTGAGCTCTAAGATCTTGTTGATTCACGACAACGCCCGGCCCCACACGGCAAATGTCACTCGTAAAGTTCTTGAATCTTTTAAGTGGGAGTTGTTTCCTCATCCGCCGTACAGTCCCGACCTGGCACCGAGCGACTTCCACCTATTCCCAGCAATGAAGAAGTGGCTGGCTATGCAGCGTTTTGATGACGACGCACAGCTGCAAGAAGAGGTAACGAAGTGGTTGAAGGCGCAGGCGGCCGAATTTTTCGACGAAGGAATTTCCAAGCTCGTACATCGCTACGATAAATGCCTTAATTTGTATGGTGACTATGTAGAAAAGTAGTATTTGAGTGTGGCTTTCATCTGTATATAATAAAATTTGTTTCCTATACTTTGTTTATTTTTTTATTCCAAAACGTAATCTACTTTCTGGATAGCCCTCGTATATACAAGGGAAATTATTGTTTTTGGTCCAAAAATTCGATAGTGAGCTTTAATTGAATAAGCATGAATTAGGCTCCCCACAACACATTTTTACTATTTTTAGAATGATATGTGTACATGTGTGAGTTTTTTTGTCAACAAAAAATCTTATATGAAATTTCAATTTCTACGCTCATGAAGCATTGATTAGATTTAGGGTAAAATTAGACAACTGGCAGTGGTACTTTACTTGAAGTTCATAAAGGCTTGTTTATACTAGCAGGACTTTGAGTCCAAGAAATGCTCATGAAATTAATGGTTCCGCCAAATTGAAGAAAGGGCACTTAATATTTTTACTTCATGCCAGCCTACATATGTAAGTAAGGGAGGTAGTCTCTTGGGTTTAAAAATTCAATAGAGTTTTATGTGAATGGCATAAATTAGGGTCTCTACGAGGGCCAGTGCAACTGCACTGGGTGGCAAAAATTTTAGAATTAAGTAAAGCATAGAGCAACTTACAAAATATTTAGAACTTGGGGTGTGCACTTGCCAGCAGAATTTCAAGGTGGCAAAAATTTTAGAATTTCTAAAAAAAACCAAGCTACAGAATTTAGGGTCTGCAAAGACTGCACCAAGTGGGAAAATTCCTAGCACCAGTCCTGGTGCACAACACGTTTTTACTATTTTTAATATGATGTCTATCTGCGAGTATGTATGTGTGTGATGATTTTTTTCATCGAAAATAATGTTCTGTATAAAACTTCCAAGAATGTCTTTCTGTTTTTTGTATTTAAGCTTTCTACATCCAGATGAAGAATTCATTAGGTATGGAGTAAAATTGAGCTACAGGAAGCCCATAACAGTCTTTAGTGGACATTTGGAAATGGTACTTAACAGGAATCTGTGAGACTCTTTAATGAATGGATAACTGCAAGTGATATTTTACTCTAAGTCCAAAACAGTTTTTAATGAAAAATTGTATTAAAATATAATCCAAAATTTTTCACTTTTAGTATTTAGGACTTTTATATCAATGGAAACAACATATTGGAATTTGGCTAAAATTAATAAACTGAAAGTGATATTTTACTTGAAGCTCTGAACAGACTTGCATAAATGTATATACATGATACATGAAATATATATATATATATGAGATTATCCAAAACTTATCAGATTTGATATTTAAAACTAGTATGTATTTGAGAACAACATATTACATTTATAAGTAATGTGTTAACCCTCATAAGAATATCATAGATCCAGAAGCAAATTAATAAACAGCTCAAAGTTTTAAATTTGCTGGTTATTTGCCTGTACCGACTGTTACTATTGCTTTTAGTTCAGTAATATTTTAAGATTATTAATATATACTTTTTAATTATAATACATTTGTTATTCAGGGATTGTTTCCTCCAGGCCAAGGAGCAACTATAGGTGTTGATTTTTTAATTAAAACTGTTGAAATCGATGGTGAAAAAGTTAAGGTAATATTTTTTTAATGGTTCTTAACTCATTTGTAAAACTGATTGAATTTTGTACTGTTTATGGTATAATTTAAATTTTTTAAAGAAATACATAAAAGAAAAGAAAAAGTCAGAGGAATTTTTTTCTTAGGAATAAAAGGGCATTTTACATGCGTATAAAGATGCATGTTTTATTCTGTATAGGGAATAAGCTACATAATATTGTTCAATATTTCATTGAATATTTAGTATTACATTTATATTTCAGTATACTTTTAATGAAAAATAGTAGTTAGTTTATTTAAATTTCATTTATAGAATTTAGAAATTTTTTTATAAAAAGGATGGTTTGATAATTGAGACTACTTCTACAGAAAACTGAAACATTACGTGTGATGAAATCTTTGATATATTAATGTAAAGTCTGGAGAGGGAAAACTAACAAGATTTTACAATTCATTAATATATGTGTCGGCTCTTAATACTTAGTCCATGATTTAAAACATAACAGAAAATTGTATATGGAGAAGGGAAATCAAAATGACCCTGCAAATTCATTAATAATCCTGCATTTTTGTACTACTTATAAAATTTGCACAATCTTCTGTTTGTAAGAAATTTCTGTTAAGGTAAAACTGTCACTTGCTGTTAAAAATTAAGGGAGTTCTGCACAATTGTATAAGATTCTTCTTTCCATTTCTTGTAGCTATGTAAACTGTAATTACGAATGGTACTTCCTGATTATCCATGTCCCCAACTTGAAAGTTGGCAACTAATTTTTAGTCAAGTGAAGATGTGAAACACAACAGTCATATTTTAATAAATGGCAGTACCCTAAAATTTACATAAAACAGCAATCAAATAACAAAATTTAAAACATTAACCTTTTCCCCCAATGTCGTCTCCCCTTGCACAATGCTGTCTTTTTTAGCTTAAAAGAATATCAGAAAAGCTTGGTTTTAGTTTACAACTGAACACTGTGCATGCTATCAACATCCACATGTATGCAGTGACCTGCTTTCACTATAAAATTATCAGAAAATTACACAAATTTTTATCTATAAATTCGATTGTTTAGGAATTACAGTTTCATGGAATGCAAATTTTCGCATTCTCTACTGATAGGTGAAACTACATATTTTTGTGGAAATGCAATGCTTTCTTTTTCACCAGCTCCACAATCCTATTGTGATTGTGATTCCTCTGATAGTGATTGTGATTGTGATTGTGTGCAAACTCCACAATCCTATTGTGATTCCTTACCCAAAAAAAAAAAAAAAAAAAAAAAAAAAAAAAAAAAAAATGCATTCATTGCAAAAAAAAAAAACAAACTCTAATGATCATAATTAATACAACAAAAACAAGCACTAATGGCCACTACTTCATCTGCTACTTATGTATGCATGCCTGGGTTGCCATATAAGTACATTCTGGAAGCGTCTTGGGGAACCTATTTATAGCATGTTTTATCATGAATACTATTTAGGAGGGTGCAAATAATCAGAAAGTTTTTATGAATATATACGATTGGTCCATAAGAAAATAATTGCAGTAGTGCACAGTCTGAGATTGGGATTAAGGCAGTTTGCTATATTAGATCATCAACTTAAATCTATTAAGATAATGTGTAGAAATTATGAAATTAGAAATAGGTAATGGTTGTTTATGAAATATTTAAGCATTTATAATCTTAAGAGAACCAAAGTGCTCAGTGTTTTGTTTTTGTTTGTTTCATTAAACAGTTCTCCCAATGTAAGTTACTTCATTTTTGTGCTAATACGTTCTCTAATTTTATAGATAGAGATTTAATTTCTTCCTCAGTTATAAAGTTCTATTGTTTAAGTCCTGCATTTGCCATGTCAAGAATTTCTTCTAAATTCTCAATTGAAATTTTTTCGTTCTCGATAACCTTTGTCATTTTCTTCAGTAGCAGATCCTGCTGCAGCTCCAAAATTAGTAACTCTTTTCAACATAATCAGAAATCCAGACTTTGCTGTAATGATAATGGCCAACATAATCAATAGTCCAAACAATGCTGTAATGATAATGGCCTGCAAAAATAATGGTATCATGATGATATAGCACGGGATTAGTGACTAAGGACATCTTGTTCTGCTAAATTTTGACTTGCTTCTTTCATAACAAATATAATTCAAGCCTGTGGAAGTTAGGCATGAGTTATATTTGTTTAATTATACTTGCATATATTTCCGGGTTATGCTTAAGGCTTATCTGAGTCCCGAATAAATAAAATCCCTCATATGCTTAAAGGTTATCTGAATAACAAATCAGTTATTTACAAAACAAGTTTTTTTGTCTATCGAAAGAAATTTCTGTTAAATTTCTCCTAGTCAACACACTCAACACTTCACAGTTCAGTTGGCTGAAGTCTGTAATCGTTACCAGGCATAACATTAACGCAAAAGATTTCAGTATTGTTTGGAATTCAGTTAAAAGTAATTTTTTAAAAAAATGTTTCAGATATCTTTGTATGAGTTATTTTTCAAGCTGTTAGGAGTTAATAATGATGGGATAATGGAAGCAAAATATAATAAAAATGATTTCCCTGGTTTGCACCGCGGATGTATTCAGTAGGTGTAAAATCAGTGAAATATCATAGAATGTATTAGTGTCATTTAAATAGGGGGTAACGGAGCCATATTGTTGATGATTCAGATTTATGCAATGATGACTTAAGAGTTTTTTTTTCAATGTGGAGTTGCTTTATTAAGTGAAGTGAAATTAAGAAACAGGATCATCACATGCTTTATTATGAAAAGTGCTGCACATGTGTGAAAGATTAACATAATGTGAATCATGCTAAAGCAAGACACTACTCTCAGAATCTATCTCTTCCTTTCTATAAAAAACTGCTGTTGGTTTGCAGATTAGACCATTCCGAATATTAGATGCCTGAATTTCAAGCTTCGTACTGTAATCAAAGTTAAGTAAAAAATGACAATTTATACTGATAGCAGCACAGTATTAATAAAAACAAAAATCAATGCTTTATGTTAATATGTAAAACAACCTTTATTAACATTAATATCAACTATGAACTCATCTCAGTAATAATAGCTTGAAATATCTTGGAATCATCTTGAATAATCAGCTTACTTTTAAAGAAAATATAAGGTATCATTACAAGAAAACCATTGCTGCTGATATGGCTATATTCAGTCTCTTAACAGCTATCCTGCAACAACAAAACTTTGACCCAAACAATAGAAACCCTCATAAGAGGCCACTGACATAATTTATTAATTATGTCAGTGGCCTCTTATGAGGGTTTCCCACCATAATTCAAAATGGTGGGGAAATGATTTTAACAGATGCAGCATTAGCATTAATTTACACGTTTCTAAGAGAACTAATAGCCTGAAGGACAAGGAAGAAAATAAAGTCCCCACTAAAATAGTAACTTTGAAAGTCACAACTTAGAAGGTTTATCCCAAAATAGAAAGCAGTCAATCTGAATTCAGGCTGTATATGGTGCCAGCATGTCTCCAGACAACTATTTTTTTGTACTTAATGTTTTTACTACTACACTTGACATATTTAATAATTTTTCAGTATAAGTATTTTCACCTTGTTGTTTTTCATGTGAGGTTTATGGAAGAAGAAATTTTATGTTAGGTATTTCTGTTTATGATATATGGATAAGATTATTTTTGTAAGTAGATATTATTAAATATTTCACTAGAAATTCTGTTAGACATTTTTATTTTATAATCTTGTATTCCAATTTTTTATAAGCTATATTTAAAAAAATTATTTATGCAGTTTTGAACACTGTATAAGCAATAAATTACATTTTCGAAAGTAACATTTTTCTTTTTGTTATTTATTTTGACTAACCAGGTCTGCATTTCTGAGGATGTGTTTTTTGTTTCAGTTTTCCAACGTTTCTTGGTTTTTATGTATAAGATAGCCTTTCAATCTTTCAATGCACCACCTTGGTAGCTTTAGTATTTCGCATTGCTGGTTGCCATATCATTGGACCTAGGTTCAAGTCCCAGAGAAGGCTTGGATATTTGTAAATGCATACTGTCTTTGTAGCAGGAGGGGCACTTAAAATGCATAGAAAGTAGAATGTCCACTTTAGGGGCCTAATGGTAGGGAAAGAGGGGTAGGAGATCCTTTGAAATCTATTCTTTAGGAGAATCTCCTTCAGAACTCAGATGGAGTTAGGCAGAATCATACTGTCACCTGCAAAGGTGACCTTGCCAATGATAGGTGCAGCACTGCATTCCTCACCACAATAAAACCCATAGAATTGTTGTGATGTTTCTATCAATTAAGGTGAATGCAGTTCCCGAAGAAGGCTCCCGTGTGTCAGCGCAGTCTCAGGATATTCTGTAAATGACTCTCTAGCAAGAATCTTCCATAGCATGTAGGTCCATATCATGATGATTACTTGAAGAAAAGTAAGTTGTAAGCAATTATTGACAATTATTGCAAGTAGGAAGTTGAAAGTCTTAACATAGTCCAGTAGAATGAGTCTCTGATGGAAAGCTGTTTCAGCTACTGCACTGTGCTGCCACCCATTGTGGCAGAGCGTAACTGAGTGGCTGAAAGAGAGCGACATGGTAAAGTGCAAAGTACTACCTAGCCAATCAAAAGGTGTTGTAGGAGGGTAAACTTTAGTGTGCCAAAAGAGTGCTCAGCAAAGTTTAAATAATAATTAACTTTTTAAAATTATAATTAATCAGATTCCCTAGACAATAATTTAATTTATATTATTTAATTCATTCCTCCATTGTGAGGTAGTGGCGGAAATTCGCTAACGGGCACCGCCGTGCGTTCGAATTCCATCGAACAAACACTGCATAAGTGAGAGCACAAGAAACACCAACGTGACATACATGGCTTAATCTGAGCCAAGCATATCAATCCAAGTAACCATAACTGATTTCTGTCAGTCAAGTGAAATAAGTAATACCACAGCCTTTCAGTGTGATCTTTGGCTGAATATTCATTGCATTTTTAGTTTTAATTATTAGTTCGATATATTGCAATTGCATGCATCAGATTATTAATTAAAATTCCCCATGAGTTTTAGAACTATTTCGGTAGTGATTAATTAGACTTCTCAGTCTTATTTATGCAATCTCCTTGAACTTGTAACCAGCATACGTTGAAAGAGCATGTCACTTACACATTCTGGTTACCAGGAAAGATATGCAAGTTGATAATTTCAGAGTCATAACATTATGCAGTCTTTTCAATAAAGTCTGTGCTTATGGTTGATTAATCTTTTACACATAAGAAATAAACACCGAAGAAATTAAATATGGTTGTTTTAAGTATTTTAAATATGGTGCTAGTATGAAACATTCAGTTAAAGTCATACATAATGCTAACAAAAGTACCTGCAGTTTATTCTTGCCCCTATAGCTGCTCTTTTAAAACTACATGACTGTGTATATTGTAGCACATATGTTGAGCTGTAAGCAGCAAAGATATTTGCACTCATGATTTTCTGTTCTGCAAAGGCTTGTCAAAAGCTGTCTTTGCAAGGCTGTAGATTGCCAGTATGCGTAAAGGTCAAAATTGTAAATATCATGGATAGTATATTTCCCTCCTAGTTTACTTTATATCCACCAAAATTATTTAATTTGTATTTAAACAGAAATATGTAAAAATATTGTTCACTAATTTAGAAGAGTATTATTTTTTGATGAAATGTTCATCAACTTTTGTGAGTGCATAATTTCAAAAGTATAAAGAGCACTCCCTTTTTTTAGGTTTTAGGCTTCAGTAATTTAAATTCTTATTGCTAAATGTATATTTATATCTGAAAGGAATTATTAGCTTTTGAAAGCGGTGGTTATTTTTTTTTTCCAGACAAGCATAATATTGCATCTAATTAATAAAAACTTGTAAATCCACTTTCCATAAAGTCTCACAAATTATGACATAGTGATAAAATGAACAATCTAAAACAATACGCTTCTTGATAATATATTCATGTATTTCAAGACAGTAAGATTATTAATTAAATGTTTGCTGTTAAAACTGCAGATACTACATGTACACTGCACAAAAAAGGGGGTGGGGGACAGTTCTATATCTCCCATTCTACTGGGCCGATTGACAAAATTCAACTTGTGTTTTTCATGTCTCGAAAGTGTGACTTAGGATATGTATTTGATTTGTATATAGCATTGTTCTAATGTAGGTATTTTAACACAAAATCGGACTTTTTTGGGAAATGACATGCCAATTTTTTTCCATATTTCAATTCTATGACTCAAATTATGCCACGCTGCCAAGTTTTGCAAAAATCGCATGAATAGTTTTTCAAAAATAGCTCTGGAAAATTTTAGCTCCTCATTATTAATTGAGTTTGGTATATATTTATTAATATCTCTTTTTTTATTAAACTTATTCTTCCTTTCATGTTTCGAAATTTAGGTTCATTCCAAATAAAATTCATCCATTAATTTTTTATAAATTTTTTGAAAAAGTTTGAATTATAAACTATAAAATTTTTGCCATCATCTTAAAGTAGATGTATTTCTAAGCATACCTCCAAAAAATTAAAATATTCTTTAAAAAGTTCCAAAGACATGCATGAATTTATATATTGGCGCATTATGAAATTTGGCGTATTTGTTGAAAGCGATAATAACATCAAATGTGGTTTAGGCACTTTGTTTAAAATTATTTGAAAGGAGAACGATGTGACTTTTTTCCCTCTCATGCACAATGTAAAAAGGTAGAAACGATGTGACTTTTTTCCTGGTCCTTTACAATGGAACGGAAAGTTAAGAAGTTTGCCAAGTGAATTATGTTTAGCGCAAACTGAAAAAAAGATGTCAAGATAAATTTGTGAATTTCTCAGTAAATTTCACACCAAATTTTACATAGTGTAATATTTAGGCATAATTTGAATCGCAGAGTCGAAATATGGAAAAAAAAAAATTTGCCCCCCTTTTTTTTGCGCAGTGTACATATAAAATGTGCATTCAGGCCATGAACATATTAAAGTTAGGAATCAAATAAGCTTAGCAAAAATGGATAAATAAGGTCAGCAGAGTTAAAACAGTTGATCGTGGAAGAAAATTTATGACATATGTCATGTTTGCAATGTGGAGCATGAGAACATATATCATAAATTGTGACAGTTACGCTAACTGTATGAACAGCTAAATTTGTGACGTAATAGGATAAAATAAAAGATATAGCTCCAGTTAAAGTTCCTAGTCATTTATTAAACTGTAATTGAAAGGATCAAATTGCAATTTTTTTCCCTTCCTCCTCAGCTTCAGATCTGGGACACAGCTGGACAGGAGCGATTTCGTTCAATAACACAAAGTTATTATCGCAGTGCTCATGCACTTGTTCTTGTGTATGATATCAGCGCTCAATCTACATTTAAGTCCTTGCCAATGTGGATAAAAGAAATTGAACAGTATGCAAATCCTAAAGTTTTAAGAGCTCTTGTTGGTATGTCATTTTTCTTTTATTTCTTTTACTTTTTTAAACATGTTTGCTATGTAAATAATTTTATTATATATGCTTATTTTGTGTAACTTGTAGATGTTTTATATTAATAGCTAATAATAAACTGCTAAACGTGAATAACTTAATTTTTATATATTCTATATCATTCCAGTTGTATCATGTATAGGATATGAATAGGAAGTATAATATATGCATGTAACTGTACCCATTAGTATGAAGCTTGCCTTGTTGAAGGATAGTTTTTATTTATATAATTATTTACAAGTGAATGCACAACAATAGTGACTCTTAAGTAAAACAGGGTTGCCACGCTACCTGGAAAACCGAAAAAAGTCAGGGAATTCGGAAATTGACCAAAAAATTCAGGGAAAAGTCAGGGAATTTAAGTGTTTTAGTCAAAATCTGGAAAAGTCAGGGAATTTCATACAACGATCCCGCCAAAAAAGGCGAGTTTTGCGCCAACGTAGGAAGAGATCACTTTTTTGGCGAATTGTTTATCACATGAGTGTCATTCGGGCAGCTGGCATAGAGCCAATTTTCGCAGCTCCAATTTGATTGTCTTTTAGAAAGGCAAATCAAGTTTCCCGCAATTTTGGTTTCCAGTAACCTCGAGAATCGCATGTGCAGTGCATGAACTAAAGAAAGTACCTGTTCTCGTATAAAACAAAATGGGTTTAATCCTAGTATACAGTACCATGAAGGTTAGAATGAAAAAATATTTACTGTAAAGAATTTACGATCAATTTTTAAGTAATTATCTTTATTTTTATTTCCCTCTAAATTTATTTATCATTAGTAAATAATATTTCCAAATTTCAGGAAATTTTCTCTGGCATAATCCTGAAATTAATTCTAGCAGTATGATGACATCACGAAATTTAATGCAATATTTTTTCCTTATGTATGCTGCAAAATAAATATAAAATACCTCAATTTAGTAAAAAAATATCATTAAATAAATTTCTTTCTTTCATTTAGCTGCAGAATAAGCCTTATTTTATTCCAGATTGGGGAGATTCTATTCTCAATCTTCAGTGGAGAAAACAACTCCTATTATAATTATATTTGTGTTTTCAAGTGTTAAGGTGCCTTTTAAGAAGACACCTCACACAAATTAAATTTACCTAAAATCTAACCTAACTTTTAGCATTGTGTTGTGATTTATAAGAACCGGATTAGCCTCATGTTGAACTGGTGATGATCATGAGTAATAATTAAATAAAACGTACAATTGTTATCCAATGTATATATCTTAAATTTTATTAAGTTCGTAAGTGGAAAAGTAAACAAAATTATCATATATATAGTATACCGATATATATATATATGACTTATATATATATCCTCTGTCATATATAATTGGCAATAATTTTTGTGAATTTGCTTACACAGTAGTAATACCATAATTAATTTACCTCTTAGCACAGCTAACGTGCATTGCGCGGATAGACTGGAATTTTCTTGAAACATACCTGGAAAACCTGGAAAAGTCAGGGAATTTCATTCTCCTGTTTGAGTGGCAACCCTGGTAAAATGACAAGAGTGGTTAAATGTTCTACCTTTTTTTAATGTAAAAAGAATTTTTGTGTTTTGCTAAGTAGTGTTGTGTAAAATAAAATATATAAAGTAAAAATTTGCTTTTTCATATCCAGTGGTGGCCAAAATTGTGGATACTTTTGGAAATTTTTATGTTTTTGAACTTTGTATGCTTATAGAAAATGTTACATTTCGCAACATGCAAACCTGTATATATCATTTTAAAGATAATTTATTACTGAATTCAATACAAAACACAAAATTCAATTATTTGCAATACAAAAAAGTTGTATGTACTTTAATATAAATTAAAAAACACAGTTATGAAGTGGTTTGTAATGTCTAGCTTTCCTAGCCAATCACTGTTCTTGTTCTGAGAACCAATCAAATGTTAGTAACTGCCAGTAGAAGCTGACATCATGTTTACACTTGAAACAATTCATTATTTTGCATTGTTCTGTAGAAGGAGGACCTGTTTCTTATACACTGCAATTACAAGTAGGAATTTTTGGACATCAAATAAAAGAGTAAATTGGACACCTAGAAAGAGATGTAATATTATTGTGTTACGAGAAAGTGGCCTTTCCTATGCTGAAATTGCAAGACAGGTGGGTGGTTCAGTGACTACATCTGGAGCCCGAAAGTTTTGTTTACGATATCAGGAGACAAATTCAATAAAAAAAAAAAAACAAGGAAGGAAAAGGCCGAAAAAGGTGCACCACATCTATTCATGACAGAAGAATAAAAAGACTATGTCTCCAAGATAGAAAAATGTCATCAGTGCCCATCAGAAGTGATCTGAATGATGCTGGTGTTTCTGTCAGTTCAAGAACAATCAGGAGAAGATTTAACAGATGTTGGACTGAGAGGTAGAATTCCATGAAAAAAGCCTTATCTTAGTTTTCAGTAACGAAAAAAAAAAAAAAAAAAAGACTACAGTGGGCAAAGGAACACATTAATTGGATAGATGATCAGTGGTCACAAGTTATATGTAGTGATGAAACTAAGATATCGTTATTCGGTAGTGATGGGCGAAAATGTGTAAGACGTGTAGAATAGGAGAAGAGCTACATCCTGACTGCATTCAAGCAACTGTGAAGAACCCAGTTAGTGTTATGATTTGGTCATGCATGTCAGCAGATGATATTGGTCGCCTTCATGTCATCGATGGGACACTGAATGCCAGAAAATACATTGACACTATTCTAGAACCAAAACTTCTACCTTCCATCAGAGATCTCTTTCCCAGCAATGCTTCGTTTATTTTTCATCAGGATTCTGCTCCTTTCCACACGGCCAAAATATCGAAAGAGTGGTTTCGTACAAAGAGCATTAAATTGTTGTCACGGCCAGGAAACAGTCCTGACCTCAATCTTATCGAAAATTTGTGGCACTGTTTGAAAACTCTTGTCCGAATGAGGCGCCCATCAAATAAAAAGGGAACTAATTGAGGCTATAATTGTTTCCTGGCATCATGTAATAACGAAAGACAAGCTTAAAACTCTTGTCAGCTCAATGAAACGTTGGTGGGAAGCTGTAATCAAAAATAAAGGGTATCCTACTAAGTACTGATAACTCACTGCAGTCATCACTATCTAATGTATATCGAAACCTATTATTGTTTAACTTTTTTTGTATTGCAAATAATTGAATTTTGTGTTTTGTATTGAAATCAGTAATAAATTCTCTTTAAAATGATGTATACAAGTTTGCATTTTGTGAAACGTAACATTTTCTATAAGCATACAAAGTTCAAAAAACATAAAAGTTTCCAAAAGTGTCCACAATTTTGGCCACCACTGTATTTATAAATTCTCAACAAGGTAACAGAACAGATAGTGATCTGATTTAAATGAAAGCTGATTTACAAGGAAGTTATTTGGAAAGAATAAATATGCATAGAATGTTCTAAGATAAGTAAAATTGTTGCAAATGAAAATGTATTTAGTTATGTTGAGAAAACCATCAGAAGATGGTTCGGTAGTTAAACCATCGAAAATAGTCCTGTAAAATTTGCAAATATAATGCTTATTTTTGTTGATTTCGAAAATAATCATGGTTTGGCGTGTTGTTTTAACCTAAGAGATAAAAGAGGTTACTTCAGTCAAAGAATATGTATGGTTAAGAAGGAAAGCTTCGCAGCAGCAGGAGTGGCTCCCTTGCAATGAAAAGGAAACAACTGCACGTGCGTAAAATATCTGTTGCCAAAAAGCGGCAAAGCTCGAAGCTGATGTCGAAGTTCGAACAGGTTCGACGGTCACGTTTATCAAGATTTTAAAGCTGTGGGACTTCATTTTTTCCCTCCATATTGACGGATATAAAATCAGACATCAACCTGTGATGGATAATGCAAGTTCAACAGCTAGTGAAAGTGAAACTTCACCTAATTTTCTTATTCACCTTAATCCGTGTTCCTCAATTTCCTTTACACGTGACGGAGAAGGAAAATCTCGGCCAGGTCCAGTACATCACAAAGGGGGAAATTCTCGCCAACAGGTTCTGTCGCCAAATCCCTTGGCGAATTTTCCCTCTTCTTTCTAGTGGTGTAGACAATATGTGGATTGATATAGTGACATTATCCATGACCACATTTTCAGTCATGATTGGTTGAGAAGGTTAGCATTTTTGTAACTGACCTAAATGCTGGCCAAATGGTATAGTGGTTAGTGATGCTGACTGTTGTACCAATGGGCCCAGGTTCTTATCTCAGAGAAGGCATGGATGTTTGTGTCTACTGTTTTTGCGCCAAGAGGACATTCAAAATACATGGTGAACGACAATTCCTCTTGTGTGGCTGGTGATAGGTAAAAAAGGAATGGGAGACCCTCAGACTGTCTTTGGAGTATGTTCTCCCTTAAAATTGGGGCACAGCTGCACAGCTGGTGTGGTGAATCTATACTTGTACTACTTATGATGAAATTCTAGTGTCCCACCCACTGATACCTGTACTTATGACCTAAATAATAAATAAGTCCCCAAGACATTTATTTTGGAATGGGATGTTGCTCATACTGGAAGAAGGAATTGGAATTTGAATAACTTAAGTTCAGTTAGCATAGCAAATTGCACTCTTGCCTTGACTTTCTAATTTGAAGTACCTTATTATTTTGTTCTATCTCTTATTATTCAAAGTAACAGTTTTAGTAAATGGTAATGTCTTGGTTCAGAAAGAAGCTCAAGAAAACGATAGGGAACAGATAGGAGAAGATAAGGATGATGTGTCACTTAAGAAATTAAACAGCATTCTTTTGAAAATTCCTGGATGCTCAGAAGTTAGTGCTGAGGATACAGCAGAATGGATAGTATTTGATTTGTCAGATCCTTTATATCAAATTCTAAATGATAATGTACTGATTGAAAGTTGAGAGAAGAAAGTGTCGAGGAAGAAGATGACCTTAATGTTGAAGTTGAAGCAGACGCAGTACCTTCGGCTAGTGAAGCATTTGCCAGTCTTGAATCTGCATTAAAGTGAATGGAGTGTCAGCCCGAGTGTGACCATATGCAACTTCCCAATGTTAAGCGGATGCATGACTTGGCTGCCTGAAAACGGATGAATGCAGTCAAACAGCTTACTTTGACTGGGATATTCAGCAAGCAATGAGTACTGTACAGTACACTATATAACATGTATGTAAAATTGTTGCCTTTTCATTTTAATTAAGTAAAACCTGTTTTTCTTTAAAAATAGTTTTTTTTTTCCTTCCGTCCCGTTTTCAACATACAGTACATACAGTAATACAGTAATTAATTAAAGTGTATATAGAATCTTTCTTCGGAAAAAAATCCAAGTATCCAAATGTTTTATTATCCGAATGGAGTCTGATCCCTTTTGATTCGGATAATTGGAGTTCTACTGTATATAAAGTAAAAATAGATTTTTCAGACGTATGTACATCTTCAGCAGCTTCCCCCCTCACTTTTAGATTATTCTATTTCAAATGTTACCTGCTTGTAAGTAAAAATTTATTTTGTTATTAGATGCATGTTCAAAATTATTAACTTTTTTTAAAATTCTAAACCAGTTATGTCAGTTTTACAAAGGTCACAGTAGTGTTTTTTTGCAATTCATGGTAAACTGTGTAATGGTTTTTGTTTGCATTTCTGTTTACACTTTCCCATTGTAGCTGTTTTTAAGACTTACAGAAGAGCCTTTCAGTTACTGTGATATAATAGAACTTTTCAATTAATTTTTATTGCTGAAATAATAATTTTGATCTAGATATTATTAGATGCTTGCATTGCTCTACTTTAACCATAGATCTAGTCTGATGATGCTGTGTCAAGCTTTATACATTAAAAACATACTAAAATTAAAATTAGATACAGTCTTTACTATTGGACTGTTTAAAAATTATTTGTGCATACATAAAAAATAGCATTTTAATCAAAAATAAGTATTTACCTACCACCTGCTTCTTCCTTCCCATGGATTTCTTACAGAGGAAATTGTTTGTAAGAATGCCACTGCCTTATTATGTAAAGCCATTTTTGATAATCTATCACCTTTTATATCTAAGCTGTTTGGAGAATACGGAAGTGTTTAAGTTTTTTCTGGCCAAAATACTTGTGCTGTGTTTGCGATAGATTGGGAAGCATTATCATGATGCAATCAATGTCCAGCCATTTTTGTGAAAATTCTGTCACTGCTTTCAAGTTATTTCAAGTTAATTTATTAAATATGGATTAACTGTTGTTTTATGCATATTGTATTCTGACACATTATTGTTGACAACAAAAGGAAGCTGATCCCCAAGTAAAGCAGACTTTACTTTTTTTTTTATTTTTTATTTTTAGATTTTGTCTCAGGTTCATTGTGATGGAAAACGTTTCCTATCATTAGTAATCATCTCAAGATTTTGGGTATTCTTTCTTTGAAGCAATCTTTACATTAAGAAATTCACATACACTAACACAAATTTGTATCTACCTGACATCAGCACTTGAGATACCTTTCGAGCATTAACTTGTTTCATGTACATTCTAGTATTAAAAAAACAGCCCTAAACACACTTTCAATAGGAATATTATTATTTGCCATTTGTCTTATTGTGACTGGATGATAATCTTAATGAATTATGTCAGCAATAGCTATAACAAAAATAATAGGTTTCTTCTCAAATTGAATTTTTCCAGCCACTGCTGAGTTATACAGAATAACGTAACACCGTCATAATATGCCCTTACTAAGCTTCCATATGCTTCTGCATTTCATTTTTGTAACCAAATGTACAATCAACATTACATACTAGCTTGCTGAACTATGCATGAATAAGAAATTGCTTAGAAGCAAATTCTCTGTCCATGTGAAATCAGGCAGCTTCCTAAAAGATAAAAAAGTTCATGAAAGTCCTTGTGTATTCTTTATTTTCAGAACTGTTGGTTGGTGGTAGACATATACTTTCAGTTACACAAATGCTTTAAAAAATGTAAATATTCATCTTTTGGTATTCTTAAGTTGTAAAAAAATCCATTTTATAAAAATGAAATGTAACTTTTTATATGGTCTGTTAATCCCAATATTTATATTTACTCATTATAAAAAGTAAAATACAAGGAGTTTGAGTCTCATATGACAAAAATTGATTAAGTTATGTAAGTTTCAGATTTTGAATTTTTGCCATTTATTTCTGCTTGCCTTGAGGGCATGGTTAAAAAATAAATTACAATCCATCAAGGGTTTTTTTTTATTTTAATGTCATTCAGCATATTCTTCTGTGATTTACTGGCATGTAACATTCTTTAGTATATAATTTTGTGTACTTATTTGTAAAGCATCTTACTGCGAGTCACAAAATTTTCAGAATGTACTAAACTCTGGCAACCATACCATAAGCATAACAATTCCTTTGTTTTAACATACAGTGCCTTTAAATTACAGTGGTTTCTATAGACAAATCATGCTTCCCCCCAATTCCCCAGTTATAAAATTTGAGCCTATGTGATTTGTTTGCAATCGAAGAAATTCCACTGAAATTTCTGCAAGCATACTGTATTTCATCACAAAATCACTAAAGGGAACAGTTGCTTCTGTTTTTAAAGCAATCATCGCAAAATTTCCGCCAGATTAAAAGAAACAAAAATCCACTTGTAAGTATCTTTAAGTGACCACTTTCTATGATAAATATCTAAAATGTGAAATATATATGTACGTAACAAATAATTTTTTTTGCAGTTACTTTTCATCATTCTTTTTCTGCTGTAAAATAGTGCATATTATGCCAAGGTGGTTGCACTAGTAGATAAATGCTTAATTTTGTTATGCAATATATGACAAAATAATTTTTATGCAAGTAATTTATTAATTTCTAAACAATTTTTTTATGAATGAAGTTTTATTACTTTAGAATCATAATCTGTTAATCATGCACCAAATTCATTGAACTAAAAAAGTTTTAATTTATGCAGATATATTATAAATTAACTATGCATCAGCCTGTCTCTTTTCTAAAACACAAATTCTTTCAGAGTAAAATGTTCTTTTTGAAAAAAAAAAAAAAAAAAAATTACATTGATCAGTACTCTCTTAACAGTCTGCTTAATAATACTTATCGATCACTTGATATATTAACAGACACCTTTTTCTAAATTGATATATATATTTTAATGTGCAATTGCAAAATGTTGCTGTGCAATTTCCTACCTCATTCAAATTTTGTATGGGACTCAGATGTTTTGTTTTAGAATTAGTATAAACTTGTATTAAATGTAATTAAAAGGATGAGGAGGCTGCAAAAGTTAGATTTCACGATTTCTTTCAAAATTGACTTTTGAAGTGTCATAACATAAATATGATACTTATATAAAATATTTTTGTAATTAGAAGTACTTTATTTGTTCAAATACATAGCATTTCTTACATTTTATAGTAAATTTAAAAATATAAAAATGTCGGAGAATATTTAATGTGAGTATGATCTTGATTAAGATATATTCCGATTAAAATGAAAGATAAGCTGTCTAATTAGATTCAATATTTGACCATGGTATAGAAAGGAAAATTAGGAAATGTCAATGATACATTTTTACCTATTTGTTTTCAGGCATACCAGTGACCAGTATAGTTAATGTAAGCTGAAAGTGAAATCATTCAAGTAGGCAGAGCTGTTACAATTAGTGGTAGTTATGCTGTTTATATATGTGATAATTACCTATATGGTTCGCTAGTATTTAAATGGTGTCATCATAGTATGGTTGTTAAAATCCTTCCTCTCATTCTCAATTTCATATAAAATATTTGATTGTAAGACCCTACCAAGTTTTAGAGCCAAAAATATTGAAAAAACAAAGGCTACATAAGGACATTTTTTGACATAATATGTACTGTGACCTTCTCTAATTCATTTTCTGTTCATCCGCAAATTTTTATTCTGAAGCTGTCATAATTTCATAGTGAATAAAATCTACCCACTATTTTTTCAAAAATATTGAAAAAACAAAGGCTACATAAGGACATTTTTTGACATAATATGTACTGTGACCTTCTCTAATTCATTTTCTGTTCATCTGCAAATTTTTATTCTGAAGCTGTCATAATTTCATAGTGAATAAAATCTACCCACTATATTTACTGCATTTAAACAAATGTGACAGCTTTCAGTATTTATAACAATGATTATTATTTCATTACTTTATTTACGTAGATTCTTTGTATAGTTGCAGTTTAACAAATAAAATTAGATCAGTTGCATTTTTAATAATGCATTACAGACTAGATTTTTTTATCACATCTTTTTTCTTTATTTTGTTTTGTTATGCTAATATTATATGTTATGCTTAATTTCTTTCAGGCAACAAAGTTGATAGAGAAGATCGTGCTGTTCCATCATATGAAGGGGAAGAATTTTCACGGCAGAACAATATGTTTTTTATTGAAACATCTGCGAAAGAAGCAGAAAATGTAGAAAAACTTTTCACTGAGATAGCCATAAAACTTACACGAGAAGCTAAAATTAGCAGTCAGCGATATAATGGCAGATCTCATCTTGATTCAATTCCAGGCTATATAGACTCCATTGAAAGTCATGATCACAATTGTTGTAAATTTTCTTGAACAAGTGATACTTTATTTTATACTGCATTTTACTGTGTAACTTATTTGGTTTTGTATTTTTAACAAAAAAGCGTATTATTTATTATCATATTTGTTGAGATATAAATTCATAGTCATTTATGTTTGTTTACTAGAGCTTAATATCATATGTTTGTTTACTTCAAAGAAAGAAGGGAAACTAAGGAAGGTTTAAAAACATGTTTTTATTGTTACTGCTGAATGAATTAGGCTTTTCATATATAAAGTATATATTAGGAAGATTAATCTGATCCATCTTAGATGTTTTAGAAAAAGAAGAACTAATGTAATTTGAACTCTGCCAAATCTTCTGTAAAATAATTTAATATTTTTACAGGTTTGTGTATTCATAGTATATTTTGTCTCTGAATGTATCTGTTGAAATTTACAAACATTTTTTAACTGCAAAGTTAAACATTACATATTTATTTAAGGTACCATATTTTAATTTCTTTAAATAGATAAGAGTTTGAAAAATACCAAAGTAAATGCACAACTGGAAATAATTTATATTCATTTTTCGATTTATACATATAAAACTAGTTTGATAGTCTAAAACTTCATTCCATTCATGTTCAATATTAAAAGTGTCTATTTATGGCATGACTGTGCTTGCATGTATATTTATTTAAAATCATAAAGTTCATATATATAATTTTTTTTTCTTCATTGAAGTTTGAAAACTAAAGAAATTATGATGAGCATAAATTTAAAAAAAATATATATTTGTGTGCATTTTTAGAGAAGAATGATAAATTTATATAATGCACACATGCTGTGTTTTTACTTATGTATATGTATTATTTTACAAATTTCAATTATGTCTGATAATTTCTGTTTGTAAGCTAAGTTAAAAAAAGCTTAAATTTGAAGCTCTACTGTGAACAGAAACAGGAAATATGGTTTAAATTATAAAATGGCTTTAAATTCTTCCAGTCAGTGAAAAATAGCCCTGCTAATTATCATTAATATGAAGTTTGATATAGCTGCTCACTTTTTTTTTTTTTTCAGTGGTTGATCCACCTTTTATTATATTTTATGAAATTAATTTTCTCAAAATTTGCATTTTATTATTTAATGTTATTATTTTATTATCTGTTTTATATATTTATTTGAATTGATTTTAAATGCTATTGAATATTTATATCTTTGGAGAAAATATTTATTTATGAGCTGCAAAAATTTAATTTTCTCAGGTAGGGAAGTTTGCTTGCATTAATATTGCACCCAACCTCTTTTCAGGATTGTCTTTTTTAGCTTTTGTGACTAAAATATAAGAGTATATATATATTTACATCTTTCATTGCACCATTGCCCTAAATGATGATGCAGTGAAAGTTGTAATTTTTTCCCCCTTTACATTTTGCCATTTTTTACATCTGTCATACAATTTTCCACTTCTGGTTTGTTTTTTTTTTTTTTTTCTTTCATGATTTGTTCTGAATTGAATATAGGATGGCTATTAAATGTATTTTATATTTGTAAATTATTTTAGAATATTATCATCACTTGTTGCTGATTTCAGAATGCGGTTGGATTAGATTTTTAACTGCTTTCTTCTTTTTATTTATTCGTTTTTGTGTCTTTTTTGTTCAGAAACGGGCTGGTGTATTGATTTTTTCAGTGCACCAACCCCTGATTAAAATGCAATGAAACATGTAAATTTCTTTATTTCTTTTTATTTTTGGTTTTGGCATTTTTTGCTTTTGCATATGGTTTGTTCCCAACTGAAAATGAGATGGATTTTAAGTGCTTTAAATTTATTTAATATAATTTTGGATTACATATATTTGTATGCGCACATACATACTAGAATCTTTCATAAGTTGGCAGCAATGAGACCTTGCATATTCTGAATGATATTTTTGTAGAATATTGAATGTAAATTTCTAGAACGTAATGTGTTCAAATTTTGGGATGCCGTCTGCAGAAATTATAACAAGCAAAGTTTATTAATCTTTCTCCCTGATTTATTATCCACAATTAAATAAATAATAAGGAAAATTGTACAGAGTATTTGAAATTAAAATCCATGCTCATGATTTTATATTTCAGGAAAAGAAAATTTAACAGTATTTTAAAATTACCACACATAATTGTCACATTAAAGTAATGAATTTCTTAGTGAGATGTCATGAAACTTCGAATGCCTACTTATAAGATTGTCTTTGGAATTTAAAAAATTTGCCTTATATACAGTGAAGCTTCATGACATCGTGTGCTGACCTGCATGAGCATTGCTCAACAAACCTTATCTCTGCAGTCCTTCATCAGCTGCCTTCTGTGAAACTTTCTTGCTTTGAATATTATCTTCATACTCTCCTCCTCCTAATTATTTACTCTTTTCACAGTGCATGTTTGACTGTTTTCCTGTCATCTTGAGAAAATGAGATGGGAACGTAATTCTCTATATTCATCTGTGACTACTCTCAGGGTTTAATTTCTAAAATTAGAAGTGCTGGAGCCCTATGAAATGCTCTCAGAAAAGATAAATAAAAATAAATGAATAAAATAATTGAAATTAAAACTTAACCCTTTCCCAGCTTTCCCTGAGCTGAACTCGGGCAGACATACTATCCTGGCTCCTCCTGAGTGTAGCTTGGGCATTATGAAAGTTTACACTGACAACCAGTCTTTCATAAATTATTTCACATGTGCTTTTTAATGGTTTTGAATGCTTTTGTTTACTTTTCTAGCTACTAGATGGTAGCACTATGCAGTTTTTTAAGCTGTAGATTTAAAATAAAGGTAAGCGTCAATTTCCTGTGAAAGTCCAGCTGTCTTAGTTGTAAATCATCACGTGCTTATATAACTTTTTTTTGAATGAAAAATTTATCCATTCTCAAACAAGTCTATTGCACATCCTGGAGAATAAGGTTTTGACAAGTGGATTGGGGCTTTTCTTCCCTTAACCATCTGAGTGCCATGACTGGCTTTATCCGGTCATGAGATTTTTTGTTACTTATTATATATTAACTTATAATTTAAGATATTTTGCTTTCTTACTTTCATTAATAATATAAATACCATCTTGATGAATTTAAGTTTATGAAAATAGAGACTAAAATAGGTAAATGTACATATTTAGCTAATAAAGGGTCTTTAAATATAGGTCTTCATAACAGATCCAAAAACCCAGGCCGCTCAGAAGTTAAAGTCTTAACCTACATTCAAAAGTTTGTTTCCCAGCAAAAAGTAGGCAGTCAGTCAGAAATTAGAATTAAATTTTAAGACTTATTATTAAAGTTAAATTTTTCAAATTAAAAATTTTTTTTATAGAAAATGTAGTCAATTGCATAAAATAGTGCCAAAGCTGCTCTTATTTTAGACTCTGGTGCACTCTGGCTAGAATTGTGATTTATCTCAAAAAATGAATAGTACCCTAAACAGGCTTCAGCACAGCTTAGGCTCTGCATTCCCATACACTAACCTTTGTTGAGCATACCACTAAATCCAATTTCCACACAGGTTCCAAATGTGTTTTAATTAAGGGAGTTTTTATCACTCACCTCGTCATGTACAAACATTTATAAGACTACAATTTACACGAACAGTGATGCAGTGCACTTCTTTCCAGACAAGTGACAAAGTAAATATGACATATTTCAATGCATAATTGGTTGTTCATTATATTCTAGCCTGCTTGATTGGATGGCAGAAGCATAACACAAATGCTATCCACATTAAAGTTTTCAATTGGGAAGCAGGGCATGGCAGTTCTCCAACAAATGATTCACTTTTCTATCTTGTAGTAAACGTTTCTTTCTTAAAAAACAAAACCATGTTTTAAATCACAATCTCTCCGTAGACAATTTTTTTTACATTTTTGAAGCAATGTGGATAGTGATACTTGCTTACCACATTTGTACATACCATAACAATTACGTGGTCCTTGTTCTGTTTAAAGTCCAGATAGTCCTTTGTCGCACAGTCTAAAATTGATGTGGGAAGACATCTTCATAATACAATCTCATCAACATTATGTATTTATTTGGAATCGCATTATTTTCACCCATAATTCTTTGAAACTGCATTATACACTCGTTCACAGACTCTTCATCTGCACTCCTCTTTCAACATGACACATGTAACTTATGAATTTTATGTTTTTCTTTAAACTGTTCCTATACTCACCTTGAATATTCATTTTGCCATGCAGTTCCACTCCTTTTTCTTTCACCATTGTTCCAGAAATACAAACTCTCTTCTAAAGTTTGGCATCTTGTTTGAGCTTCCAATTTCCCATTCCTTCATAAATTTCATTCCGCTGATTCCTCTATTTCTCTTGTTCTTCTATTTTCTTCAGCAATTCCAGTCTTAACTTAAAAGTAAGAAATCTCTCACCCTGCTCATTAAATGGGAGTAGCTGTAGTGACATCATATGGAGTGTATTGTACATATCTGAATGCAGTTTGATAGTGTAACTTTCAGGTTCTGTCTGTTCGGTTTATGAAAGAAGCCATTGAGCTGCTAGGAGTATTGTGGGAGGGGAAGTCATATTCTGGAAAGGTGTGGGCATGTGGCACAGCTTTCTATATGACAGTGAGTATTGCCACATTCTTTGCCCCTTACTTATTTTTTGCCTCATTGGCCTCAATTTTGGATTTGATTTAAATTTAGACTTTCAGAAGTGAAGTTATTTTGATGTTACTGGTTTAACTTTAAAATTTGTTAAGTATGGAAAGGTTTCACTTAAAAAGTTGGTAAATAGAAATGCAGTTTCATTGCACTTTCATCTCAGATTGCAAAGGGAATCTGCTTTTTAAAAACCTTTCCTTTAAGTGTTCGCCTTTGTTAATATTCAGATAAGAGACTAGGTAAAACAAAGGAATTTTTCTTTTTTCTGCTGCCTCTTTCCCCTAAACTAGAAACCCACAAAGTTGCTATTTCATAGTTGAAATAATGACAAAATCTGCCCTATACTGAAAATAGCCTTGGTAAGAAATATTTAGCTATGCCTAAAATCGGTGCTTACTTTAACTGGAACCATAACACTTTGTAACTGGAACCATAACAGCTCTATTCACTGTAATCAGTTTGGTTTCACACTGAATGTAGTTTAGAATTACAAATATATATTAACAATTTGAATTTATACATTCTGTTTGAAAAGTAATTTTTTTTAAGTAAATGAGAATATTATAAAGAATACTGAATGAAAAAAGAAGCTAATATCACAAAAATATAGGAGGATTTGGTTTATATATATCTATATGTATAAGCTAAAATTATTCCTAGATTTTTTTATAAAATCTTAATGTCAATTGCCTTGCACTAATTGGCAAAAAAACATTTTACTGTAGCAAATATTTCAGCATTCAAAAAATTTCACTGTTTTTCTTTCTTGCATTTTTGTAATAATAGGTTTTATTATTATTATTTTATTCTTTTTTTGTTTAAAAGAAACCTTTAATGCATATTTCAGATGGCAATATTAAATGCAAAAATTATGATAAAAATGGAAAATATGCATTTTTGATGTAACTCAAAAATTGGAGAAATGAATAGTAATATAAAATTTCGAATGGATTTCCTGTATTTTAAAAATTTATTTATCTAGGCCCATCAGCAGTGGTTGAGCAGTAAAATCGATGAACATGGATAGTTGGACTCAGTTCACATCTCGGTGAACAAGCTGGCTATGTGGCCTTGTGTGTAATGTCAATATAACCAGTTTCTTTCAAAATATCCTTCACAAGTCCGAAGTTTCATACACGGATAGATATCTCATTAAAACGTAGATGCTATTATGCATGTATTTTGCTTATATTTTCATTATGTACAGAGTGTATGTGCTTATATTGACCTTATAAATGTGAACAAAACATTTTTTCTCATTCACCACAGTAATGGCAATTTCATTCTTATATTTAAAAAGCAACTATACTGAAAAGGAATTCAGTCATAAGTAAAATATGAAATGAGATAAACTGGATAGGTGGGATTGTATGATTATGCAGAAATATACTAGCAGTGTTTGCCTATATGGACAAATAACATCGTTAAGGACTTTCT